CAATGTGGCTCGTTTAACTTTTGACAGCTGTGAACTCCCATCCTCTGTTTATGTAGCAGGACATCAGTTACAAGTTCGGAAGGTGATCCCTACACTGCAAGAGTGTAGGAATTGCTGGCGATTTGGCCACCCAGCAAAATATTGCAGATCTATAGCCGAATGCCCAGTCTGTGGTGCTGATGACCATTCTAATACGTCTTGCAGTCGACCTCCCTCTTGCCTTAATTTTCATGAGGCTCACCCTTCGTACTCTCGCCGTTGCCAGATCTACTTAAATGAGCGGGAAATTTGTTACCTCAAAGAGGCAGAAGGTCTCCCTTATGCTATGGCAGTTTCTCATCTCTGCCTCCAAGGGAGACTACCGCGTGTTTCTTATTCTCATGTTTCAAAACATCCCCCCATGTCTGGGGTCCCATCTTCTGTACCCTCCTCTGCGGTTGCCAGTCTCATAGTCACTCCTGTATCTAATTCTTTTGCTGTCCTGGGCTTAGACGTCCATACTTCAACACCTCAGTCTGTTCTCACTTCTTCGTGTTCTCCCTCACAAACCCAGGTATCGACAAGACCTTGTACGACACTTCCTCCCAATCGCCCCTCTACTTCTCATAAGCCCAAAAAAAAAAAAAAATCTCCTTTAACCCCTCCTTCCCTTCATCCACCTCCACATTTTACCTTCCTGGTCTCTGTACCTGGGTCTTCCCCTTTCACTGGCTCTGTTACAAATGTGGAGGTTCATCCTCCTCCTCATACTGTGCCTTCCTCCCCTGTCCCCTCTCAAGTTTCTTCCTCTTCTGCCACCTCCCAGGTTTCTGCCTCTTCTGTCCCCTCCCATACTTCTCCAGTTCCCTCCACCCTTTTGCCCCCCCCTACCTTGGTACAGTCCATTACAGTTCTGATCTTTACTCAAACTCCTCCTCCTTCCATCTCTGATATTGTCTCCAATACGATGTCTCTGAACTCCAAAACACTTGAAGCAATCTCTGAATATATTGCGGAGGCCAAACCATCAATGGACACTGATCCACCCTCTGTTCCTTCTCTTTCCTCTTCTCCATCTGTGCAACTCCTTTCTTCACAGCGCACCATTCCTTCGCTGCTTGAATGTTTTCCACTGCCACCGCATGTGGACTTTTCTAACCCCTCTAGTCCGTAGGAACCCTTACCTGCAGATTTCAGGTATCTTTATCATTGCCAATCATGGCCTATTTACAGTGGAATATACGTGGCCTCAGGGTAATCGGGGTGAGCTTCAGATGTTACTCTCCCAGTTTTCCCCTGTTGGTGTTTGCTTACAGGAACCAAAATTACACTCTGCTGTTATCTATCCCATCTCAGGCTATAATTTATTGTATTCTTCACATCCTTTTCCTGATGGGACCTTTAATGAAAGTGTCCTTCTTCTACACACTGATATTCCGTACCATCAGCTATTTGTTCGTACTTCGCTGCATTACACAGCAGCCCGTATCCACTTGCATAGGTGGTATGCACTCTGTTCTTTGTATCTCTCTCCTTCTCAGGCATTATCTATCCCGGATATTGCCTTTCTTGTTTCATCATTACTGCTACCACTTCTGTTACTTGGCGATTTTAATGCCCATCATTTCCTCTAGGGGGGGTCTCACTGTGATTCCCGTGGCATTCAGTTAGAGGCTTTTCTTGCCACCCACCCCCTCCATGTTTTAAATACAGGTACTCACACCCATTTTGATCCTCGGACTCATACTCTCTCTTGCATCAATCTCTCTGCCGCACTAGACTTCACCTGGTCTGTTCTCCCGGATTTACATGACAGCGATCATTTCCCAATCATTCTTACTTCCCACAACTGGCAATTTGATCAGGCAAATTGGAACCTTTACTCACAACTAACTGTTTTTAGTGAAGTTCCTTTTTCGTCCTCCATTGATGAGCTTTTACACCTCTTCTCGTCCTCCGTTTTAAATGCAGCTTCTATACCCCAAACTTTGGGCAGGCATTTTCAGAAATGCATGCCTTGGTGGTCTCCTGCTTGTGCTTGTGCAGTACATTTGAAACGCGCTGCGTGGGACAGGTACCGGTACAATAGAACCACGGAGAGACTTCTTGATTTTAAGCAGAAGCGTGCGATCGCTCGCCATGTCATCCATGATGCTAAACGTACTTGCTGGCGAGATTATCTCTCCACCATCACCTCTGCTTCCTCTATGAGTGCAGTCTGGAAAAAAGTACGAAAATTGAGTGGTAAATATTCTCCTGACCCTGCTCCTGTTCTGCGGGTTGCCGGTGTTGATATAACAAACCCACTAGTTGTTGCTAATGAAATTGGCACTCATCTTGTCCATATTTCTCAGGGGCTCCATCTATGCCCCTCGTTTCTTTCCTCAAAGTCTGCCAGAGAGTTAGCACGCTTGGACATTTCTTCTCTCAGAGGAGAACAGCATAATGTGCCTTTTACACTTCAGGAACTGGAGGCAACACTCTCAGCTTGCCGATCATTGGCAGCTGGACCCGACGACATTCTTATTCGTTTGCTACAACACTTACATCATCAGCCCTTGCAGTCCTATTATACCTTTTCAATCTTATTTGGTCACAAGGAGTTCTTCCACAGCTGTGGAAATCTGCCATTGTTCTCTCTTTCTGCAAACAGGGTACTACGGGATATGAAGCCTCCCACTATCATCCCATTGCTCTTACCAGTGCAGTTTGCAAAGTGATGGAATGCCTGGTAAATAGACATTTAGTGTGGTATTTAGAGACACACAACAGTCTCTCCACTCATCAATATGGCTTTCGTAAGGGCTGTTCTACCATAGACCCCTTACTACGCTTGGATACGTATGTTTGTAATGCCTTTGTGAATAACCACTCAGTTATTACCATATTTTTTGACCTTGAGAAGGCATATGACGCAACTTGGAGGTATAATATTTTGGCCCAAGCCCACTCCTTAGGCCTCCAAGGCAATCTACCATCCTTAAGAACTTTTTAACTGACGGACATTTCCGTGTTCGGGTTAATAACGTGCTCTCCCCGGACTTTATCCAAGCTGAAGGTGCCCCCCACTGATGTGTTCTGAGCGCAACACTTTTTCTCCTTGCTATAAATGATTTGGCCTCTAGTCTTCCATCCAATATTTGGTCATCACTCAATGTTGATGACTTCGCTATTGCCTGTGCAGGCACTGACTATCACCTCATTACAGTTTCTCTCCAGCATGCGGTCGACCGTGTTTCCAATTGGGCCACCACACATGGGTTTAAATTTTCCAGTACCAAAACTCACCAAATAACTTTCACTAGATGCTCTGTCATCTCTGATCATCCTTTGTACCTCTATGGCTCCAGTGTCCCTGAGTGTGATACAGTCAGGTTTCTAGGCCTTCTCTTTGACCGTAGGTTATCCTGGAAACCTCACATTACCTCTCTGAAGGCAACTTGTCACAGCCGGCTGAATCTTCTTTAAACCCTTGCTCATCTTTCATGGGGAGCTGATCGTCAAACTCTCCTTCACCTACATTCAGCCCTCATCGAAACTCGATTATGGTGATCAGATCTATTCAGCGGCCTCTCCTGCTACTCTCTCTAGCCTTAACCCCATTCATCACCAAGGATTACGTTTATGCCTTGGTGCTTTTCGCTCTTCCCCTGTTGAGAGCCTCTATACAGAAGCAAATGTTCCATCCTTGTCTGATCACCGTGATGCCCATTGCCTTCGCTACTATGTACGCTCTCACGATCCCCACAATCCTTCCATTTATAGAATGGTCACCGATATTAGTAGACATTATTTGTTCACCGCCCCTGTTTGCTCTGTCCCTTCTCTCTTTGCCTACATTCGCTCTTGTCTTCCCTTCAGTTACCACCTTTATATGTTCATGTAGCATCTCACTTTTCCCTACCCCCCTTGGGAAGTTCCAGCTGTTCGGGTTGTTCTTTCTCACTCCCTTGCTCGAAAGCCCAACTACCAACGGTGTCTTCCCGCTCTCTTTTTCTTGACCACTTCCACTCTCATTCTTATGCCATCTCAATGTACACAGATGGTTCTAAGTCTTCTGACGGCATCGGATTCGCAGCAGTGTTTCCGGACAGCATGTGCAAGGGCATTTACTATCTTCCGCTAGCATTTTTACTGCTGAATTGTATGCCATTCTTGCAGCACTTATTCATATCACATCTATGCCTGTGTCATCATATGTTGTTGTCTCAAACTCCCTTAGTGCTCTACAGGCTATACTTAAATTTGATACACCTCACCCCCTAGTTCTCTGTATCCAACTTTGGCTACGTCGTATCTCTACCAAGCATAATGATATTGTTTTTTGTTGGGTCCCTGGACATGTTGACGTACAGGGCAATGAACAGGCAGACACTGCTGCGCGGTCAGCAGTAGGTGACCTACCAATTTCATATAGAGGTGATCCATTTCCGGACTATTTTGCTGTAATAGCTACCCACCTTCACACCCGTTGGCAACAACATTGGTCAACTCTACTCGGTAACAAACTTCATTCTATTAAACCGAGCATAGGTTACTGGCTGTCTTGTCATCAGTACCAAGGTGGGGAGACTACTCTCTCCTGTCTTTGCATTGGCCACACTCATCTTACTCATGGGTATCTCATGGAGAGGCACCCTGTTCCTCTTTGTGAGCAGTGTCAAGTGCCAATATCGATTAGCCACATTCTGTTAGACTGCCCTCTCTATCAACGAGCACGCAGAATTTACCTCCAACATCATCTCCGCTCTACTACTCTCTCTTTACCTTCTCTTCTTGCTGATGGACCTTCCTGGTAAAGGGTTAATCCTGACTCATTGACTTCTTGACAATGACTGGTATACTCCACAAACTCTGATGATGATACCTTTTGCACTCCCCTCAGCCCTTTCTACCTCAATCTCTCCCTTTTGCCACCTGATACCCTCACTTCCTTCCTGCCCTGCAGTGCTGTATAGCCCTTGTGGTTTAGCACTTCTTTTTTATTATAATCTGGACTTTTTTTTTTTTGCGAGACAGGACTCCAGTGACTCTCAAGCTGGTCCTAGTGGCATTAAGAAACAGAGAAGAGAAGTAACTTGGTACCTGAAGTGTTGATGGAAGGGGATTCCCCTTCCAAACAGTAACTAATCCGATCTTTTGCCTCCTCCAGTCTTCCATACACTAAGAAGAATTGCCAATAAAGGTAAGTGTTATGCTATTAATGTTTCATTCATCATGTCCCATTGTATTGTTTATGTACTACATCTATATTTAATGTAAAAAAAATTTTTGTGTTAATACTTCTGGGTGTCAGGAACAGATTAATTGTATTTACATTATTTCTTATGGGGGAAAATTGATTCGAAAATCGTCTATTTTGATAATCGTCGCACTTCCAGGAACGGATTAACGATGATAAACAAGGGACCACTGTATTTTAAATATTGGGTGGCTTGGAATTCACGAATGTTTGAAGCCCGCAAAAGTGGAAAACGCAGATGTTGAGGGAGACTTGTATGTTGTATTGGTAATGGTGGAATATTGTACTATACTGAGTCACGTTTCTCTTGCAGAAATATTTTGTGGAAGACTACCAGGTTGTATCCTACAAGACACTATATCTTCAGTACTTCAAGAAGCACTGGTGGAAGACTACCAGCTTGTATCTTACAACACTCTATATCTTCAGTACTTCAAGAAGCACTGGTGTAAGACTACCAGGTTGTATCTTCCAAGACACTATATCTTCAGTACTTCAAGAAACACCAGTGGAAGACTACCAGCTTGTATCTTACAACACACTGTATCTTCAGTACTTCAGGAATGACTAGTGGAAGGCTACCAGGTTATATCTTACAACACACTATATCTTCAGTATTTCAAGAAGCACCAGTGTAAGACTACCAGGTTGTATCTTCCAAGACACTATATCTTCAGTACTTCAAGAAACACCAGTGGAAGACTACCAGCTTGTATCTTACAACACACTGTATCTTCAGTACTTCAGGAATGACTAGTGGAAGGCTACCAGGTTATATCTTACAACACACTATATCTTCAGTATTTCAAGAAGCACCAGTGTAAGACTACCAGGTTGTATCTTCCAAGACACTATATCTTCAGTACTTCAAGAAACACCAGTGGAAGACTACCAGCTTGTATCTTACAACACACTGTGTCTTCAGTACTTCAGGAATGACTGGTGGAAGGCTACCAGGTTGTATCTTACAAGACACTATATCTTCAACTTTTCTTACTAGTTTTTAACTGGTCGGGTATTAGTAATTTAAAGAATTTTGTTTTTGATATTGCAGATTCTATCTAAAAATTGCATGGTAGTTAATATTGTTGTTAAAAATTTTCAGAAAAAAATCAGCATTTAAACTACAGAAAAATAATGAAAATATTGTTCAGTGTATCTTCAGCGTTTTAGTACATATATGTTTGTTATTAACAGAAAATAAACAGAATTACTGTAGTCTTTTAAAACACCTGAAATAAATTTTATCAGCGATTACTGGTAGAAATAGTTTTGCCTAAAACAGATCTAAACGTTGTAATATATTTACAAGGAAAATTGTATGTGTAGTGGACAAAATATTTTACCAAAAACAAATCTTGAAATACACATGAGAGTACATAAGATTAACTATACCACTTTTGAATGACTAAAAAATTTTAAAATGGAAATATCTTTGAAAAATATGAAAAAACATACAGGAGATAAGCCATTTCAGTGTTCCGAGTGTCTGAAATGTTTTAGTCGTAAAGGCAATCTTGTGACACATATGAGAGTACATACAGGAGATAAACCATTTCAGTGTTCACAGTGTCTGAAATGTTTTAGGCAAAAAGGCAATCTCGTGAAACATATGAGTGTACATACAGGAGAGAAACCATTTCAGTGTTCAGAGTGTCTGAAATGTTTTAGTAAAAAAGGCAGTCTTATGACACACATGAGTGTACATACAGGAGATAAACCATTTCGGTGTTCACAGTGTCTGAAATCTTTTACTGAAAAATGCAGTCTGGTGAGACATGTGAGAGTACATACAGGAGATAAACCATTTATGTGCTCACAGTGTCTGAAATGTTTTAGTCGTAAAGCCTACCTTGTGACACATATGAGAGTACATACAGGAGAAAAACCATTTCAGTGTTCACAGTGTCTGAAATGTTTTGGGCAAAAAGGCAGTCTTGTGACACATATGAGAGAACATACAGGAGATAAACCATTTCAGTGCTCAGAGTGTCAAAAATGTTTTACTATGAAAGATAGTCTTTTGACACACATGAGAGTTCATACAGGAGATAAACCATTTCAGTGTTCAGAGTGTCTGAAAGGTTTTAGTCGAAAAGGCTACCTTGTGACACATATGAGAGTTCATACAGGAGATAAACCATTTCAGTGTTCAGAGTGTCTGAAATGTTTTAGTGTAAATGGCAGTCTTGTGAGACATATGCAACTACATACAGGAGATAAACCGTTTCAGTGTTCACAGTGTTTGAAATCTTTTGCTGAAAAATGCAGTCTTGTGAGACATGTGAGAGTGCATACAGGAGATAAACCGTTTCACTGCTCACAGTGTCTGAAATGTTTTAGTCGTAAAGCCTACCTCGTGATACATATGAGAGTACATACAGGAGATAAACCATTTCAGTGTTCACAGTGTCTGAAATGTTTTAGGCTAAAGGACAATCTTGTGACACACATGAGAGAACATACAGGAGATAAACTATTTCAGTGTTCAGAGTGTCAAAAATGTTTTACTTTGAAAGGTAGTCTTTTGACACACATGAGAATTCATACAGGAGATAAACCATTTCAGTGTTCAGAGTGTCTGAAAGGTTTTAGTCAAAAAGGCTATCTTGTGACACATATGAGAGTTCATACAGGAGATAAACCATTTCAGTGTTCAGAGTGTCTGAAAGGTTTTAGTGTAAAAGGCAATCTTATGAGACATACACAAATACATACAAAGATAAAACATGTTAATGTTTAATGTATAACGGATTTTTTGTTTTAAACACATGAAAATATATGCATGGGATGTACAATATTTATATTCAGAGTGAAAAATATTAGTGAAATGTTAGTCAATGTAGATTATAGAGTGAGGTGTTCAGTGCCAGGCCTCTGTATAACTGTATTGTGCCATTACAGGTTAACTGTATTGTGTCACAGTATGACTGTATGGTACCATTACAGTATAACTATGGTGCCATTACAGTATAACTATGGTGCCATTACAGTATAACTGTATGGTGCCATTACAGTGTAACTGTATGGTGCCATTACAGTATAACTATGGTGCCATTACAGTATAGCTATGGTACCATTACAATATAACTGTATGGTACCATTACAGGAAATGGTTTGTGACTAGCAGTGACAGTAGATCAATGAGAGGAAATAAGAAAGATCATTGACTAGCACAAATTCCAAGAGCCGAAGAAAGGATATACTTGTTAAAACCGCAGGAAAACTAGATAAATTTTTTATTTATTTTATTAACACATTGGCCAATTCCCACCAAGGTAGGGTGGCCCAAAAAAAAGAAAAACTTTCATCATTCACTCCATCACTGTCTTGCCAGAGGTGTGCTTACACTACAGTTTAAAAACTGCAACATTAACACCTCTCCTTCTGAGTGCAGACACTGTACTTCCCATCTCCATGACTCCAGTCCTGCCTGCCGGTTTCCCTGAATCTCTTCATAAATGTTACTTTTGCTCACACTCCAACAGCACATCAAATATTAAAAACCATTTGTCTCCATTCACTCCTATCAGATATGCTCATGCATGCTTGCTGGAAGTCCAAGCCCCCTCACACACAAAACCTCCTTTACCCCCTCCCTCCAACCTTTCCTAGGCTGACCCGTATCTTGCCTTCTCTCCACTACAGATTTATACACTCAAAATCATTCTATTTTGTTCCAGCCTCTCTGCAAGTCTGAACCACCTCAGCAACCCCTCCTCACCCCTCTGGATAATAGTTTTAGTAATCCCGAACCTCCTTCGAATTTCCACACTACAAATTCTCTGCATTATATTCACACCACACATTGCCCTCAGACATGACATCTCTATTGCCTCCAGCCTTCTCCTTGTTGCAACATTCACCACCCATGCTTCACACCCATATAAGAGTGTTGGTATAACTATACTCTCATACATTCCCGTCTTTGCTTCCATGGACAAAGTTCTTTGTCTCCACAGACTCCTAAGTGCACCACTCACCCTTTTCTCCTCATCAGTTCTATGATTCACCTTATCCTTCATAGACCCATCTGCTGACACGTCCACTCCTAAATGTCTGAACACATTCACCCCTCCATACTCGCTCCCTGCAATCTGATATCCAGTCTTTTTTCACCTAATCTTTTTGTTATCCTCATCACCTTATCTTTTTGTTATCTTCATCACCTTACTCTTTCCTATATTCACTTTCAATTTTCTTCTTTTACATACCCTACCAAACTCATCCATCAAAATAAATGCTAGAAGGGAAATGGGTGGGAGCTAGGCCTAAAGGTTTCTCCACACAGTGGGTTGTGTTATTGTATACTGAAGGATTGTTACCCATATCATCCTACATAATATAGTGAGTGACAAGGGTACTGATGTGATAGTGATCTTAAATTTTGGACTACAACAAATCCCCAGTGCATAGTGTATAATATTTGGATATATATAATTTTTTGAGCAGCACTGGTGAATTATTGCCAAATGTTGATAGAGAAGTGGAAATAAACAGATGAGTATTGACTTATCATATAGGATTATTTATTCTCTGACAAGCTATTTACATAAATTATGAAGATAATATGAGCAAGTAGTGATCCCTGAGAAAGTCCACACACTACTAAACGACGGTCAGTGACCGTCGTTTAGTAGTGATTTAGTGAGGGATAAGGATATGAATGTGCAGTGATGTAATAAACTGAAATTGTAGCTAAGAGTAATCTTAATTAATCCCCAGTGCTTAAGGTACAGTATGTGGTGTATATGGGACTAACTTATGGTCAAGTGGCACTAGCAAATTATTGTGAGAGATCAACAGAGAAGTGGAAATAAACAATCGGATGTGTATTACACTATTGCCAAAATTGTTATAACAGATGGTAAGAGCATTGATGTGCAAGGATATAGCAATCTTAAGTTATGGCTAATGTATAGGAAAAAAATAAACCAAATGACCTTACTGTGTGAAGGGTCCCCCCTGCTTACCTTAACCTCTTACCACTGATCCTGCCCACCCAGTGGGAAAGGTCCCCCCACCCCTCACTCTCACCATAGCACCTCTCCACTAACCCCCACCCAGGGCAGTTAGTGGATCCCCCTCTTCAAGGTAGGGTTCCTTGATGTGGTAGAGAGGCTTTTGGTCTAATGAATTAAACCCTTTGGTCTCCTTCCTCAGACCAAACCTCCTCTTCAAGGGGGGCTCCTTGGTATGGTGAAGAGGCTCTTTGTCTGAGGAATTAGACCTTTTGATCTCCTTCCTCAGACTGAACCTAATTACCCCCCAATCCCTCCTTCCCTATTCCATCCTCTCCTTTTTCCTTTCCTCCTCCTCCTCCCCATCCCTCCCCTATTCTCTTCCTATTTTCAGCCTTTGGGATTCTTGACTCAAGAAATTGTAATGACACGATTGCAAACAAACCATACCCCCGGCCGGGATTGAACCCGCGGTCATAGAGTCTCAAAACTCCAGCCCGGGCTGGAGTTTTGAGATTCTATGACTGCGGGTTCAATCCCGGCCGGGGGTATGGTTTGGGATTCTTCCCATGGACACTGTAGTTCCTATTTAGGGGGAAGGATACTGGGGTCCATGCATTCCATTGAGGTCTTTGGCAGTGGCATAGTTTGCCATGGAATCTGGATCACCTGGGGATGTCCTGATCCTTCTCCTGTCTCTCCAGGGGGTGGCTTTGGGTGTCTTTTGGGTGACAGGTGTATTTCTGGAGGCTGCCTTTTAGATTCCTGGGGATGGTGGCCAAAGGAGGTATACTTTGTGGCAAGTGTCCTGCTGTCCTCTCTCTTGTCCACCAAGGTGACTTGGCAGTTGTGAGGTTGCTATCCCAGATTGCTGGTTTGCTGGCATGAAGGGTAGGGTATGGTACGCGTTCCATGCTACATCTTCACTACTTGCAGTGCTTGGGTCCTTTCAGGCATGGAGGGGGATTTACAGCCCTTTTTTGCCTCCTTGGAGTTATTCCTCCACATTCCCCCCTTTTTTCTTTCCTTTTTTTTTTCTACAAAAAAAAAGGAAGTGACCTAACCATGGAGTCCCAAATCCATGAACCTTCTGCCCCCGGGCCCCTTATTGATACCACACTTTGTTCCAACTCTGCCTCATTATTTGACCACTCTTTGGACATTCCTATTGTCCCTGTACTTCTTGCTGGTGCCATTTCGACACCTGCTCCAGGTACTGGTGTTTTGACTGACTCCTTTGATACATCTGACCTCTGTTCTTTGACTATGCTTCCAGCATTTAGGTGTGGGACCAACTCTGGTCTACAGAATTTGGTTAACACAAGCCTCTCTGATGTTATCCTGACGCCAAATGACTTCGAACAGGTGATAAATGACATGCCCATGCACTCTGCCCCAGGGCCAGACTCATGGAACTCCGTGTTCATCAAGAACTGCAAGAAGCCCCTATCAAGAGCTTTTACCATCCTATGGAGAGGGAGCATGGACACGGGGATCGTCCCACAGTTACTAAAAACAACAGACATAGCCCCACTCCACAAAGGGGGCAGTAAAGCAATAGCAAAGAACTACAGACCGATAGCATTAACATCCCATATCATAAAAGTCTTTGAAAGGGTCCTAAGAAGCAAGATCACCACCCATCTAAAAACCCATCAATTACACAACCCAGGGCAACGTGGGTTTAGAGCAGGTCGCTCCTGTCTCTGTCAACTATTGGATCACTACGACAAGGTCCTAGATGCACTAGAAGACAAAAAGAATGAAGATGTAGTATATACAGACTTTGCAAAAGCCTTCGACAGGCGTGACCATGGCGTAATAGCGCACAAAATGCATGCTAAAGGAATAACAGAAAAAGTTGGTGATGGATCTATAATTTCCTCACTAACAGAACACAGAGAGTAGTAGTCAACAGAGTGAAGTCCGAGGCAGCTACGGTGAAAAGCTCTGTTCCACAAGGCACAGTACTCGCTCCCATCTTGTTCCTCATCCTCATATCTGACATAGACAAGGATGTCAGCCACAGCACCATGTCTTCCTTTGCAGATGACACCCAAATCTGCATGACAGTGTCTTCCATTGCAGACACTGCAAGGCTCCAACCGGACATCAACGAAATCTTTCAGTGGGCTGCAGAAAACAATATGAAGTTCAACGATGAGAAATTTCAATTACTCAGATATGGTAAACACGAGGAAATAAAATCTTCATCAGAGTACAAAACAAATTCTGGCCACAAAATAGAACGAAACACCAACGTCAAAGACCTGGGAGTGATCATGTCGGAGGATCCCACCTTCAAGGACCATAACATTGTATCAATCACATCTGCTAGAAAAATGACAGGATGGATAATGAGAACCTTCAAAACTAGGGATGCCAAGCCCATGATGACACTCTTCAGGTCACTTGTTCTATCTAGGTTGGAATATTGCTGCACTCCAACAGCACCTTTCAAGGCAGGTGATATTGCTGACCTAGAAAATGTACAGAGAACCTTCACGTCGAGCATAACGGAGATAAAACACCTCAGTTACTGGGAGCGCTTGAGGTTCCTGAACCTGTATTCCCTGGAACTCAGGCGGGAGAGATACATGATTATATACACCTGGAAAATCCTAGATGGACTAGTACCGAACTTGCACACGAAAATCACTCACTACGAAAGCAAAAGACTTGGCAGATGATGCAACCTCCCTCCAATGAAAAGCAGGGGTGTCACTAGCACGTTAAGAGACCATACAATAAGTGTCAGGGGCCCGAGACTGTCCAACTGCCTCCCAGCAGTCTTCAAGCTGGCACTGGACAAGCACCTAAAGTCGGTACCTGACCAGCCGGGCTGTAGCTCGTACATTGGTTTGCGTGCAGCCAGCGGTAACAGCCTGGTTGATCAGGCTCTGATCCACCAGGAGGTCTGGTCACAGACCGGGCCAGGGGGGGGGTTGATCCCCGGAACTCTCTCCAGGTAAACTCCAGGTAAACATCTAAATGCCCAAGATGATGATACTTCTTCACTTCCTTCTCATTCTACTCGCAAAAGACCAGGACGTCACACACTCCCTTTACACACAATGTTTCAAAATATACAATGTACAAAGTTTTTTACTCTACGACCTACTTCCTCTACCGCCCATCTTTCTGACCATAGTATTGGCAAGATGCTCCTATGCTATGTTCATAGAGATATATCCTTTCATGCTCTCGAGAGTGGTACATCCAACATCATTGTCCAGAATGCTAACCAAGCTCACGATCTTTCTCTCCTTACAACTTTTGATACTATTGAAAAATATCATTCCCTCAGTTCTTGTAGTGGTACTGTCATTCTGCTCCATACCAATTATCCAACAGAATTTCCAGACATGTGGCAATGACATTCTGGAACAGCTAGAACTCCAAGACCTCCCAATTTCCCCAAAGTAGACACTTATGTCCTTCCTGCCCACAGGTGGAGACGATACCCCTGCATTGTAGCTTGCTTAACTTTTGACTGCCATGAGCTTCCATCCTCTGTATATATACAGTGGACCCCAGGTATTCGATATTAATCCGTTCCTGAGAGCTCATCGAATACCGAAATTATCGAAAAGCGAATCAATTTTCCCCATAAGAAATAATGGAAATCAAATTAATCCATGCAAGACACCCAAAAGTATATAAAAAAAATTTTTACCACATGAAATATTAAGTTTAATGCAATAGAATAATTACAATAACAACAATAACAATAGAATAATTGACACTTACCTTTAATGAAGATCTGGTGGTGATTGATGGGATGGGAGGAGGGGAGAGTGTTGAAGTTGTTATTGTTTAGAAGGGGAATCCCCTTCCATTAGGACTTGAGGTAGCAAGTCCTTTTCCTGGGTTACTTCCCTTCTTTTAATGCCACTAGGACCAGCTTGAGAGTCACTGGACTTCTGTTGCACAACATATCTGTCCATAGAGACCTGTACCTCTCGTTCGTTTATGACTTAACTAAAGTGGTTCACAACATTGTCATTCTACAGGTTGCCAACACAGCTTGCAGTAGCTGTGTCAGGGTGATTTTCATCAAAGGTTTGCACTTTAAGCCACATTACACACATTTCCTTAATCTTTGAAGTAGGCAACTTTCTCAATTCTCTATCCCCTCCTCCGAAGCAGTTTCCTCAGGTCTGGCCTCTTGCTGTTGAAGATGATCTAGCAGCTCATCAGTGGTTAGTTCATCATTGTCCTCCTCCACCAACTCTTCCACATTCTCCCCACTAACCTCCAACCCCAAGGACTTCCCCAATGCCACAGTGGATTCCTCGACTGGCATACACTTCTCAGGGTTAGCCTCAAACCCTTCAAAATCCCTTTTGTCTACACATTCTGGCCACAGTTTTTTCCAAGCAGAGTTCAAGGTCCTCTTAGTCACTCCCTCCCAAGCCTTACCTATAAGGTTTATACAATTGAGGATATTAAAGTGATCCTTCCAAAACACTTTTAGAGTCAGTTGAGTTTCTGTGGTCACTGCAAAGCACTTTTGAAACATAGCTTTTGTGTACAGTTTCTTGAAGTTGGAAATGACCTGCTGGTCCATGGGCTGCAGGAGAGGAGTGGTATTAGGAGGCAAAAACTTGACCTTAATGAAGCTCATGTCCCCACAAAGTCGCTCTGCCACGTCTGAAGGATGACCAGGAGCACTGTCTAATACCAGGAGGCACTTAAGGTTCAGTTTATTTTCCAGGAGGTAATTTTTCACAGTGGGGGCAAATGCATGGTGTAACCAGTCATAGAAAAAGTCCCTAGTGACCCATGCCTTACTGTTTGCCCTCCACAGCACACACAAATTAGCCTTGAGGACATTATTTTTCCTGAACACTCTGGGAGTTTCAGAGTGATACACCAATAAAGGCTTCACTTCGCAATCACCACTAGCATTGGCACACATCAACAGAGTAAGCCTGTCTTTCATAGGCTTATGTCCTGGGAGTAATGTCCTCCTGAGTAATGTAGGTCCTGCTTGGCATTTTCTTCCAAAACAGGCCTGTTTCGTCGCAATTAAACACTTGCTCAGGTTTAAATTCTTCACTGTCTATGTAATCCTTGAATTCCTTCACATGTTATTCAGCTGCTTTTTGGTCTGAACTGGCAGCCTCACCATGCCTAATCATACTATGTATGCCACTACAATTCTTAAATCTTTCAAACCAACCTATGCTGGCCTTAAATTCACTCACATCACCACTTGTTGCAGGCAATTTCTTTACCAAATCGTCATGTAACTGCCTAGCCTTTTCACAAATGATCGCTTGAGAGATGCTATCTCCTGCTATCTGTTTTTCATTTATCCACATCAATAAGTCTCTCAACATCTTCTAACACTTGTGGTCGCTGTTTCGTAATCACAGTTGCACCTTTTGCAAGAACAGCTTCCTTGATTGCCGTTTTCCTGGTCACTATAGTAGAGATGGTTGATTGGGGTTTACTATACAACCTGGCCAGCTCCGACACACGCACTCCACTTTCGTACTTTGCAATTATCTCTTTCTTCATTTCAATAGTGACTTATTTTGCAGAAACAAGCACCAAAATCAGTGATAATATGGAATGTACTGAATGTATCCTTAGATGCGCGCACACTGGCTGGCTTGTAAACACTGGCACACACGGGGCAGTTCAGGCCACACGTGGACACGTCTTGTACGAATCGCATCGAATACTGGGGCAAAATTTTTGTGCCCTCGAATAGTGGGACACTGTTTACAAGTTCAAAAGGTGATCCCTAAACCCGGCAGTGTAGAAATTGCTGGCTGTTTGGTCATCCAGCAAAATGTTGCAGGTCTGTCACCAAATGCCCAGTCTGTGGTGTCGATGACCATATCAACATGTCTTGTAGTCTACCTCTCTCTTGTCTAAATTGTCATGAGGGTCACCCATCTTACTCTCACCATTGCCTAGTTTACTTAAATGTGCATAAATCCATTGTCTCAAAGAGGCAGAAGGCCTCCCATATGCTATGGCAGTCTATCGTCTGTGCCCTCAAGGGAAACTTCCCCATATTTCGTATTCATGAGTTACTAAACATCTCCCCCTCATCTGGGGTCCCACCTGCAGCCTCCTCTGTGGTCATCCCTTCCACAGCCACCTGTGTCTCTAATTCTTTTGCTGTCCTGGACTCAGAGGTCTCTACCTTTGCATGTCATTCTGTTCTAACCTCTACCTGTTCTAACCTCTACATGCCTGCGGAATGTCATATTCAGGGTTTTAAATTGTTCCAAGAAGATAGAAGTATTGGGAGGGGGGGTGGGGTGGCATTGTATGTCCGAGATCGCTTGAACTGTTGCATAAAAACGGGTATTAAGTCTGAAGTAAAACATACAGAGTCTTTTTGGATAGAATTTTCAGGGGGCATGAAAAACGGGATTTTAGGAGTGATATTACCGTCCCCCAAACTTAGATAGGGACCAAGGGAAACTACTATGGGAGGAAATTTTTAAAGGGCCCCAAAAGGCACGATAATGTAGTAATTCTAGGAGACTTTAACTTTATTTCATGTTGATTGGAATTTCTTGACGGGGGAATTTAGAATCATACGACTTCTTAGAAGTATTTCAGGATTGTTTTTTGAAGCAGTTTGTGACAGAACCTACAAGGGGAAATAACCTGCTTGACTTAGTTATGGCAAACAATGAATCCTTTTTAAATAATTTAAAAATTTTCAGAGGAACTGGGTGCTAGAAACCACAAATCAATTACATTTAGCATTGAATGGAAGTACGATAGTAGCGATAACTCAGTAACAGTCCCCGATTTTCGCTTAGCAGATTCCCATGGGCCTTAGAGAACACTTATCATCTGTTGACTGGGGTAACGAAGAGAGCTATCAATATGACAGTTTTCTGAACACTATACATGCTGCTCAAAGAGCGTTTATCCCATTATAAAGAAATTAGATCAAATAGAAATAACCCAAAATGGATGAATAATAGGCTCAAATATCTACTAGGGCATAAGAAAGGAATTTATAGGCGTATCAAAAGAGGTGAGGGTCATCTTATGAATCAGTATATTGACATTAAGAGGGACATTAAAAAGGGGATAAGAAAAGCTAAAGGGGGGCTATGAAATTAAAGTTGCTAGGGATTCTAAAACTAACCCAAAAAGTTTTTTTCCCGGTCTATAGAACAAAAGTTAGAGATAAGATAGGTCCCCTTAAAAATAACTATGGGCACCTTACTGACAAAGAGAATGAAATGTGCTTGATTTTAAATAATTATTTTCTCTCAGTTTTTACACAGGAAGACACTAACAATATTCCAGTAATTAATTTTTACAGGGGCTAGAAGAAGATAAATTATGTAACATCACAGTCACTAGTGAGATGGTTTTGAAGCAGATAGACAGACTGAAGCAAAAAAAAGTCGCCGGGTCCTGATGAGGTTTTTTTAAGGGTTTTTAAGGAATGCAAAATGGAACTCTGTGAAACTTAACTAATATTTTTAATTTATCTCTTCAACAGGTGTAGTGTCTGATATGTGGAAGATGGCTAATGTAACTCCTATTTTTAAAACGGGACAAGTCGTTACCGTCAAATTACCGCCCAATAAGCCTGACCTCAATTGTAGGCAAATTACTAGAGTCAATTATAGCCGAGATTATAAGAAGCCATCTCGATAAGCATAGCTTGATTAATGATACTCAGCATGGATTCACAAGAGGCTGGTCGTGTCTAACTAATTTATTAACTTTCTTCAGTAAAGCTTTTGAGGCTGTTGACCACAATAAAGAATTTGATATTATTTACTTAGATTTTAGTAAGGCTTTTGATAGAGTTCCGCACCATAGGCTGTTAAAGAAAGTGGCAGCTCATGGCATTGGGGGAAAAGTGCTCTCGTGGATCGAGTCATGGCTCACTGACAGGAAGCAGAGAGTGTCCATAAATGGGGTTAAATCCGAGTGGGGATCTGTAACAAGTGGCGTTCCACAGGGATCAGGCTTGGGCCCGTTGTTGTTTATAATATATATCAATGATCTTGATGAGGGAATTACTAGTGATATGAGCAAATTCGTCGATGACACAAAGATAGGTAGGATAATTGATTCAAACGTAGATGTTAGGGAACTTCAGGAGGATTTAAACAAACTCTATTCTTGGTCAGAAAAGTGGCAGATGCAGTTCAATGTAGATAAATGCAAGGTTCTGAAGCTTGGGAGTGCCCATAACCCTAGTACTTATAAATTAAATGATGTAGAACTTAGCCATACAGATTGCGAAAAGGACTTGGGGGTTATGGTGAGCAGCAACCTTAAACCAAGACAGCAATGCCTAAGCGTACGTAATAAGGCAAATAGATTACTGGGATTTATATCAAGAAGTGTAAGCAACAGAAGTCCAGAGGTCATACTGCAGCTTTATACATCATTAGTAAGGCCTCACCTAGATCATGCAGCTCAGTTCTGGTCTCCGTATTACAAAATGGACATAAATTCGTTAGAAAACATTCAGCGTAGGATGACTAAATTAATACATAGCATCAGAAATCTTCCTTATGAAGAAAGATTGAAGACTCTTAAGTTACATTCACTTGTTAGACGAAGAATGAGGGAGACCTGATCGAAGTGTATAAGTGGAAGATAGGTATTAATAAAGGGGATATTAATAAGGTCTTGAGGATGTCTCTCCAAGAGAGAACCCGCAGTAATGGATTTAATTAGATAAGTTTAGATTTAGAAAGGACATAGGAAAGTATTGGTTTGGAAATAGGGTAGTTGATGAGTGGAACAGTCTACCTAGTTGGGTTATTGAGGCTGGGACCTTGGGTAGTTTCAAATCTAGGTTGGATAAGTACATGAGTGGGAGGGGTTGGATTTGAGTGGGACTTTCACATCAGAGCTTATTTCTTGGGTGGCATTGAAAATTGGGTTGGGCAAATGTTTTGTTAGTGGGATGAATTGTAAAGGATCTGCCTAGTATGGGCCAACAGGCCTCCTGCAGTGTTCCTCCTTTCTTATGTTCTTATGTTCTTATGTTCACTCACAAGTTTCTGTGTCTATGAGACCTCATACAACACCTACTCCCCATCGCCCCTCTCCTAAGTCCGAAACATTCCCATTGTTAAAATCTCCTTTCATCCTTCCTTCCCTTCTGCAACCTGCTCATTTGTCCTTCCCAGACTCTGTACCCAGTTCTTTGCCTCTAACTGGCTCTGTTAGGAGTGTGGAGATTCATCCTCCTCCTAATACAGTACCTTCTTCCCCTGCCTCCTCCCAAGTTTCTTCCTCTTCTGCCCCTTCCCAGGTCACTTCCTCTCCTGTCCCCTCCCAAACTTCTTCTCTAGTTCCCTCTACCCTTTCGTTGTTCCCCCCTACTTTGGTACAGTCCATTGTCTCCCCGATCTTAAGTCGCCCTTCTTCCATTTCCAGTATTGTACTACATACAATGTCCTTGTCCTCAGAAACACTTGAAGCTATATCAGAATATATTGAGGAGACTAGACCATTGATGGACAGTGATGCACCTCCTGTTCCTCCTCTTCACTCTTCTCCATCTGCACAACTCCTTTCTTCACAGCATCCCAATCCTTTACTGCTTTAAAGTTTTCTGCTACCTCTACATGTGGACTTTTCTATCCTTACTAGTCCATAGATACCTCTGCCTTCAGAATTCTTGTATCTTTTTCTTCACAAATCCTGGCTTATTTTTAGTGGAATCTCCACTGCCTCAGAGGTAACCAGGGTGAGCTCCAGGTGTTGCTTTCCCAGTTTTCCCCTGTTTGTGTTTATTTACAAGAACCCAAATTATGCTCTGCTGTTATCCATCCCATCTTGGGATGGATAACAATGGAACCTTTAATGAAAGTGCACCTCTTCAAGGGGGGCTCCTTTGTGTGGTGAAGAGGCTCTTGGTCTGAGGAATTAGACCTGTCGGTCTCCTTCCTCAGACCGTACCTAATTACCCCCAATCCCCCCTTCCCTATCCCATCCTCCCCTTTTTCCCCTTTTCCCCCTCCCCTCCCCACCCCTCCCTTTTGCCCTTCTTCTTTTTTGGCCTTTTGGGATTTTTTCCCACAGGCACGCTAGTTCCTAGGTAGGGGAAAGGGTACCAAGGTCCATCCCATTCCGTTGAGGTTCTTGGTGGTGGCGTAGTTTGCCGTGGAATCTGGATTGCCTGGGGATGTCCCGATCCCTCTCCGGTATCCCGAAGAGTGGCTTTGGGTGTCTTTCAGGTGACGGGTGTATCTCTGGCAGCCACCTTTCGGATTCCGGGGGTGGTGGCTGAAGGAGGTATGCTTTGTGGTGGATATCCGGCTGCCCTCTCTTTTGTCCACCGAGGTAGCTCGACAGATGTGAGGTTGCTATCCCGGATTGCTAGTTTACTGTCATGATGGGTAGGGTATGGCACGGGTTCCATGCTGCATCTACGCTACTTGCGGTGCTGAGGTCCTCTTGGGCGCGGAGGGAGATTTCTGGCCCTTTCATTCCTCCTAGGAACTATCCCTCCCCAGTCCCCCCTTCTTGATACCGCACCCCGTTCTGACCCCGCCTCATCTTTGGACCACTCTTCGGACACTCCTCATGCCTCTGTACCTCTTGCCAGTGCTGTTTCCTCACCTGCTTCAGGTACTGAGGTCTCGACTGACTCCTTTGATTTATCTGACCTCTGCTCTCCTTTGACTATGCTTCCGGCCTCTCCCTCTATGGTGCGGCAATTTTCGAATCACCGGCCCGTTCCACGTCGGACCAATTCTGGTCCCACGCCTAAACGCCAACGACAGTTACCTGCTGATGATACTTCTCCACCTTCTCGTTCTTCTCAGAAAAGATCAACACATCCTGCACTCCCTTTCCACACTCAGTTTCAGACTGCACAATGGACTAAATTCTTCACTTTACGACTGACTTCCTCTACCGCCTGTCTTTCCGACCACAGTATTGGCAAGGCACTCCTACGCCATGTTGGTAAAGATATTTCTTTTCATGCTCTTAAGAGCGGTATGTGCATCATCACTGTACAGAATGCTGCCCAAGCTCATGATCTTTCTCTTCTTTCCCATATAGATACTGTTCCTGTCACTATTGAAAAACATCATTCCCTCAATTCTTGTAGTGGTACCATCATTCTGCCCCATACCATAGTTCAACAAAATTTCCAGACATGTGGCTATGACATTCTTAAACACTGGAACTCCAAGATCCCCCAACCCCTAAAGGGTAGCCCAAACTTTTTTTTCCCCCCTGCCCCGGCGGAGACAAATACCCTTCAATGTGGCTCATTTAATTTTTGACAGCCGTGAACCCCATTTTCAGTTTATGTAGCGGACATGGGTTTTACAATTTCAAAATTTTAAACCCCTAAAACTGCAGCGGGGTTAAAAATTTGGCTGGCGATTTGGCCTTACAGCTAAAAAAATTGCAGATCCATACCGAATGCCCAGTCTGGGGCCGATGCCCAATTCAAATATGTTTTTGCAATCGATCTCTCTTTGGCCTTAATTGTCTTTGAGGCTCACCCTTGAAATCTCCCCTTTTGCCAAATTTCTATTTAAAAATGAGCGGGGAAATCCGTTACCTAAAAAGAGGCAGAAGGGGTCCCCTTTATCCCATGGCGTTTTCTCTCCCCCTCCAAGGGAACAAACCTCGTGTTTCTTTTTTCCCATGTTTAAAAAACGCCCCCCCAACTTCGGGGTTTCCCCATCTTCTGCAGCCCCCCTTTCTGTGGTTACCTCTCCCATAGTCCTTCTGTAAACTAATCTTTTGGTGCCCTAGGCTCAACGTCCCAAATTAAAAGCCTCAGTCTGTTCACGTTCTTCGTGTTTTTCCCCCAAAGCCTCAGTAACCCGGGATGAGGAAACCCCGACGAACCTCCTCTCAAACATCCCTCTACTTTTCAGAAAATCAAAAAAAGGTCCTTTAACCCCTCCTTCCCACTTCCACCTCCTCCCTTTTTCCCTTCCCCGTCTCTGTTCCGGGTTCTTTCCCCCCTCATGGGTCTGTTAAAAAGTGTAGAGGTTCACCCTCCCCTCGACTTTTACCTACCTCCCCTGTTCCCCCCAGGTTTTTTTCCTCTTCGCCCCCTCCCAGGTTTCTGCCTTCTCCCCCCTTCCACGCTTCTTCTCCATTCCCTCCCCCCTTTTCCCCCCCCCTCCCTTTGGTACAGTCCATTCCCGTTCCAATCTTTACTCATCCTCCTTCTACCATCCCCAAATTTTGTTCCCATAGACGTCTCTGAATTCCGAAAACTTGAAGCAATCTCTGAATATATTGCAGAGACCAACCATCAAGGGAACACGTCCCCCTCTGTTTCCTTCTCCTCCTCCCTCATCTGCGCACTCCTTTTTTCCCAAGCGCACTGTTCCTTCGCTGCTTGAACGTTTTCCGCTGCCTCCACATATGGACTTTTCTAACCCCTCTAGTCCGTAGGAACCCTTACCTGCGGATTTCAAGTATCTTTATCATTGCCAAATTTTTATGGAATATACGGGGTTTTTATGCGGGGTTTCTGCATGACATCATAAGTACTATAGTGGAAAAGTGTGCCTAATAGTAGAAATTATAGTTGTAAAGAATAATTTTATAATTGATAATGTGCATTTGGGGGTACTGTAAAGTACTCTAACTGTAATTATAAAGAAATTCTGTTAATGATTTATTTTCCAAGGATGTTTGGGTAGCGGAGTAAGCGGGTTTGGGGAGTCACGTCCCTTTAGCATGGTTTTAAAGGGGCCGGGCTTTGGAGAGCGTGTTTTTAAAGATAATTTTAGTTGTGCCTCATTTTTTTTTCCCAAATCAACCCAAGGGCCTCATAGGTCCCCTATAGTTCCCCCAGGTTGACATGGTCGGGGTGCCTGGGAGGATGGGGAAATCAAAATAATTTGGAAGGGGTAGTGGGGGCCGGGCACTGACGAGGCATAGGGGTTAGGGTGGCTGACCTCAACCCAGCTTTGTTGTGTCCCCTCATTTGGCGTTTAGGATTGAGTTTTTCTTTTATGTTATTTTATGGTGATAAATAAAATTTTTTTTTTCCAATTTGGGGATTTTTGCCAAAACCCTCTGTTCCCCAAACCCCCTTTAAGTAACATACCATTTAGCGTTTTCTTTTTTGTCTGGGAACCCCTGGGTGGCCGTTTGGGCTAGTAGTGGTAACTTTTCCCTTTCCCCTTTAGCCCAGGCTAAAGCCCCCACTATCCCACATTTTTGCATAACAGGGGCCTAAAGGGGAAAATTACAAATTTTATGTGGATTCAAGTTTGCAACCTGGAAATAAATAATCATTCTTTACTGGGTGTCAGGAAGCTTTACTATAACACCAACTAAAATAATAATTTACCTTTGTTTGCAATAGCTGGTTTTTGGGGTGTTATTTTTAATTTAAATCCCCTGTGAATAATTTACTTTTATGGCAACATTGCGGTTTTGGGGGGTGTTAAATTTTAATTAAACCCTGTGAAAATTTACTTTTGTGTGCAACATTGCGGGGTTTTTTGGGGTGTTTTTTATTAATTAATACCCTGTGAATAATTTACTTTTGGGAAAATTTGCGGTTTTTAGGGTGTTGTTTTTAAATTTAAATACTCTATAAATATTTACCCTTTTGTGCCATTTTGTTGATTTTTAGGTGTTATAATATTTGATATTTTGTGCATAATTACCCTTGCGGGTACAATTTGCTGTTTTTTTGGGGGTTATGCTCACCTAAATTTCGGGAAAATAATTCCCTTTTTGCAGGTGCAGAGCTCTTATTTTTTTTTTCCCAGGGTTTTTTTTTTGTGTGCAACCCTGTTAATTTTGAGGATCACTGACAATCCTTGTGAATATCTACTTCAGTAATGACCTTGCTGTGTCTTTATTTTTTTTATATCATAAGTTCTGTGGCTGGTAGTAAGATTTGGTGCTATTATTACCCAAAAGGCTGACACGGGTGAAAATTCTGAGGATGACATGCTTTTTGGAAGGTGACATTGAATAAACCCCCCATATGGGGACCGGGAAAGGAAGTAGTAATTTTACAAATAAATTGCCTAGTTCAGAAAAAAAGGGAAAGGGTTTAAGGATTGAGCGCACGAAGATCCGGAACAGAGACCCTTTTAGGGGGCTTGGGGCTAAAGAAAGACTAAAGAGAGCAGCTTCTTCTCACCCAACACAACCAAGGTAATTTTTTTTCTTTTGGGATAAAGCCATAAAATTTTGCCCAAATTCCTAGGAAAGACCCAGACCATTTTTTCTGTTATTTGAAAGTAGGGCCAAATCCCAAGTTTGGCCGGAAAAGGAATGGGCGACTTAGTTTAAACCCCAATTTAGTTGGAAAAGGGGTTACGGCTTTTAGTTTTTTAGAAGGTCTGCCTTTCTGATTATCATAATTTAAAAGAGGTTTTTTTACTCTTTAAAATGTTGCCGAAAGGTACAGGCAAAATTCAGAGGCTAAATTTCAGTCATGGCAGCTTTGGTGGAATTGGAAGGAGAAGATGTCATTCTAATGGGTGGTGTCCCCAAAAAAGGGGGCAATTATGAAGGTGTAATTACCTTAATTTTTTTAAGGGGATCTTTTGGAAATGTTCCCCCTTCCCTTAAGGCATATTTTGGGGAAAGGATCTTGTTTTTAATAATGCTTTAGACGGGGTGACAATTTTTAGCTAACCAAAAAATTTTTGGTAGCGTTACCACCCCCCACATACAAATAAGGTAAGTTTTTCCCACCCACCAATAAAATAAAAATTTCAGAAGTTTAACCCACCCACTATACCTAATAACCCAAGATTTTTAATCCCCTAATTTTCCAGTACCCATCGGGGAGGTTTTAAGTCAACTGTCACGGGTCCAGGACACAAGGAACAGGGGAAGGGCCCCAGTTCCCCAAACCCAAAGGGGATCCAACCTAGGTAATGGGCAGGGGCCTTTTAAACCCTATCACTGTACATATTGCAAAAAAACGGGGCCCCCTGCAGAAATTTTCCTCGAGAGATGTTAGGGCCAGGCTGCGGCAGATGTTTCCC